CAAACGCCGATGTTGGCCCTTTGCACAGGGGTGAATTTCACTCCAGCAACTTTTTACTAAATACAGCACAGGTCACTCTGTAGTCAATGACAGGCACCCACCAAGACTAGCCGAAAGGTACATAGTATTGGCTGCTCTACTCTGGTTGTAAGTGGCCAAAGCAAAAGCTTATGCAGCACAGATGGGACTGTGAATGCTGGCCCAGCAGCACAGGAAAAAATGTTCCACACAGTAAGCCAGCACCTACAGCAGCGACCCCCACCCTGCACGGGTCCCAAAGGAGGGCACTTTGGTGGCTGCTGCAGAAGAGGTGTGGCTGGGGAAATAAAGCTGAGCCATCCTCCATGCCATAGAAATAAGAAGCACAGCAGCTATTTTCTGAGGAAACCAGTAGCTCCACTTGCTAAGAGCATCTTGAGATTGTGAGGATGTCCACACCAAGATGAGTACCTTCCACTCCCATGCAGAATCAAGCCTATCAGTTGCCTGATGAAGTTAGGCCTGCAGGTAAGTAGCTACTACATGCATGCAGGAGATATGAAATGGACCACTACAGGGTGCTCTGTCTTCTGCAAAGGTGCTGTTTGACGTGTACAGAAACCATGTTCAGAGTTTGGTCGTCTTTAGCCATCATTTCAGAGATCAGATTATATTAATCACATCATGCATGGGGGTGAGATCCCAAGAAAAGTAGGCCCTGGAGGAGACAAAGGGGGTTACCAGCTCCTCTCGACCTTTCTCACTTCACCCTGCTTTGATGGATATAGAGTAAGTGTAGTCTATAGGAAATGGATAGTATCCCTTAAAGTTAGGGAGCCCTCTAGTGTCTTCTGTTGCAAAAGCCATCAGAACCTAAAAGACTAGCAGTGCATATGCAGTGCTGTTGTCGCTTTGTTGGTCCCAGGATATTAGAGACAGGTGGGAAAGGTAACATCTTTTATTGGTCCAGAAGTTGGTCCAATAAAAGATATTACCTCACCCACCATGTCTTTCTTGTAGTGCTTATCTGTAGGTAGGCCTTGTACGTTTGTGTACGATTAGATGGTTATTTGGAACGCAGGTGTGTCTCTGTGGTTTCCTTATATTCTTAATATAGTGCAGAGAGGAAGGACCCAACGGTAAGGATGAGAAGGTCCCTTCCTCATGAAAAACTGTTTGGAGCCTGGTGAAAAGCAAAGAGATGCAGCTCTTGAAATATACTTAATGTGGGAATGGAGGAATCATTTTAATGGAGTAATAAAATAAAAAATTATCTGTCCGGTTTTCAAATTAATTAAATAAATATGAAAGCTGACTTCTTATTATTTTATAACTCATTCAAGATGCACAAAGTTTATCACCTTCATTTAATACTGAACATAAAGCATTCCCCGTTTATTGCTCTCCCCCAGCTGTACTGTTCAGATTAGCATTCCACCTCACTGTAGTCCAAAGAATTGTCAGACATAAAATAGTATCGGGTGTGGGAGATGGGAGAGAGGAAGACAACAGAAGGAGAAAATCCTCGGGATGGCCTCTCTGATATTTGTGTGAGGATCCTGCCTGGAATACACAGAGTGTCCTTCACTAAACCTGACCCTTGCACATTCCTTGCAGGTAATGAATAATTGATCCTTGCATGCAGGATCCTTACACTTGTGTTGTTATGAGTGGGCTCTCCAAAGACAATCACAATGTTAGCTTGTGGCAGGCTGTCATTATTACTGTCACTTGCAAAAGTGATTTATTTATCAACGTCTGTTTCATCTGATGATTTCCAGATGCTGCTGCTGTGCATTAATCATCAGTGGTAAATACGGTCTTAAAAAAGAGAGCGAATAGCTGGTTCCTTTTGAAGCTCTAGGCTCGCAAGCCTTTGCCTGTCCATTCGATTGGTAGGTTTCATGACACAGCTTCAACTAGCAATAACGTTCATGTTAATATTATTCTGTGTTTGCATTTGATGTTTAAGACTTTCCAATTTGTTTGAGAAACCAACAAGGAGATCTGCTAGACCAGGCATGTTATTGGGCATTCAAAGCTCTTGCTCACAACATACCTGTTTGATGCAGTAGATTGTGTGTGTGTGTGTCTGGTAGATAGGTAAGACAGCATACGTGTACTACAGATACTGGGTCATATCTAAAAGCCTTCCCCACCATCACTAA